AGTATGGTGCTACATTGTAGTCTAAAATGAAAGCCATCAGTACATTTTGTTGATTATTTAATACTCCTTTGGCAGCACATTTTGAAAACGCTATATACTGTCTACAGTACTTGTGGCTCAGTACCTGATCCATGCAGCTGCACACGTGCATGTACTTACATTGAAAGCTTAAAATAACATGACAGGGTTACACTCGCACAGTATTACATGTGTTCACTGCTGTCTATTAGATCTAAATATAGTCCATGCCTTTAAAAAGCTGTATTCAACATTTGTGGAAAAGCATTAGTTAAAAACATTTAAAAATATCCAGCAAAGTGAAGTAAGTCTTTTCATGTTTTGGTGCTGCGGTGGCCTCTGGGAAAGTCAAATAAACATTAAAGGGATTGGTTGTCGTCCAGTGCACCGCGGCCTCCATGCTTCACCTCAGAGAGAGCTCCATCATCCTCACATCTGCACAGTCTTTGACCACAGAAGCAAAGATCATAGCATATAAAGGACTGCTTATTTACTTATTTTCTAATTTAACACATTATACTGGAGGTTTAGCTGTCATGAAGTCATTTCCTTTGTTGTGGTTTCAACACTCAAAGAGTTAGTAGCAAGAGCAAAGTGAGTACAAACCAGTGTGTCCTAAACAAGATGTGCTCACCATTTAGGGATGTCATGGCATGACTTGGTTCATTGTTGTTGGCTCTGGGTCAAAAATATCTGTTTAGTTGGAAAAAGAAAGCAATTTAATGTATCCTAACAACTGCTCACCCATAGACATGTATCTAGACAGTAAATCTGAGACATTTTCCTGGTATTATGTTAGTAGAAAGTAAAAAATCTGTGTAACAATGAAAATGTGTTCATGTATCTATGTAAACAAATCCAACATTCCACATCCATAAGAAAACACTTATGGACCCATGAGGTGACACTTTACTGTAAAAAGCAAAATAAATGCTTTTCATTGCAATAATATGTTACCAATGTGTTTTGTGCGTAGACATGAGTGTGTGTGCCAGTAACCCCTGTAAGAATGGAGGCACATGTGTGGAGGGAGTGAACCAGTACAAGTGCACCTGTCCTCAGAAGTGGAGCGGCCCTCATTGCCAGCAACCCACACAGACAGGTGAGCCACACACCTTTGTACAAATGTGTTCAATTCAAATAGTAGTTATGAATATAACCCAAGCAGAAGGGAAAAACAGACTCATGATAAACTTAAATTTTCTAGTACTCTATAATAATAATAATAATAATGCATTTGAGTTATATAGCACTTTTTTGGACAATAAAAAACACTTTACAGTGCATTGACCATTCACTTCACACTCGGTGGGGGTAACCATTAATCATGACCAGTTAATAATGAAGTGTATCTTATTTCCATGCAGCCCCTCCTGAATGGAGTGTTGTGAATGATCCAGCATTCAGTCGTAAACCGCGCTGTGCTCAGGTGAACCGGGCCCAGCACTGCAGCTGTGACGCAGGGTTTCACATGAGCGGCACCTCTGACAACAGCATCTGCCAGGGTGAGGCCAAACTGCGCTAACAGAAGAATTTTTTTGTCCCTGTGGGCAAATTGCTTTGCAGCAAATTCACATGGCTGGGTTCACTTACATAAAAAAAAACTACAAAAAAAAACAAAAAGCATATAAAAACATACAAACATAGAAAGCAAGTTGACAAGTTAAAATGCAGTGTTTTTGCTTGTGAGATGCAGGAAAATTTTGACCTATTTTTGTGAATCGAGGAGGGCAGAAGCAGTGACCATTGAGTAGGAGAAAAAACTCTGAGCAGAGGGTGTCAGCAGCCAGAGAGGATCTTTCTGGCTTTTTTATTAGTACTCTCCTCCAGGATGGGCAACTTTAGGCCCAGCAGCTTAGAGGACAAGATAATAAACGTCATACTTTTAGGACAGATTACAACCAACTTTACACTGTATCGTTGTCAATAAAGAAATTTCTAGCTATCATCCTTAAAGGTAAATTGTAACCTTGCAATTTCTGTAAGATATAATAAATAAAAATATATGTTACAGCTCTACACTACATAATACTCTTATGAAGCTACTGTTTAATAATAGTGAATATGCCCAGTTAATAAATATCTCAATGTTGACATAATCCTGTACATTTTGACATTGTTTTGTGTTTTTGACAGATGTAAATGAGTGTGAAGTTTATCGGCTGGATCAAGGAGGGAAGCTATGTGTTCATGCATGTGTGAATGTCCCGGGTTCTTACCACTGCTCCTGCCCCACTGGCTACAGGCTGCTACCCGATGGGCGGAGCTGTGAGGGTGAGTGACAGGGCGAAACAGAGGACAAAGACTCATTCAGAACGCTGGCTGCTGCTCTACAATCTGGCTCTAATGTCAGAAAGAAATACTTGCAAATTGCTCTGCACATTTGCCAAAACATACAGAAATTCCTCTCATATATTCAGTAAATGATATTGTGCCTGTCTATTTCACTATATGGTCCTAGTAGTTATTGTGAATTTAGAAGTGTTCTTTCTGCCCACAAACTGTGCAGCTACTTTCATTTACACCTTTGTAGCTTAGCAATAATACACACTGTGGAACACATGACTTCACCCTTTCAAGCAAAAAGAGAAAAAAATCGTTCGGACATGAGGTATTTATGGGAGACTAAACTATAAACCAAATAAACACCCCCATCCCTGACTGTGGTAACCAGGAAGTCCACGTTCAGTCTGGCTAGTTTCCCCCTCTCCCTCCACTCCCATACAGTAACAGTACAGGGCTCTGCTGCTGTTTTGTCTTCCAGATGTGGACGAGTGCTTGAGCGAGAAGCACAACTGTACCAATGGGACAACCTGTATCAACACAGGGGGAGGGTTCCAGTGCGTCAGCCCCGAATGTCCCCGGTCTCATGGACACATCCACTATGTCAAAACATCGCCTTTGTAAGTCTTTAAACACCATATAACAAAAAAACTACTACCACTCTAGTAACTTGTCAATATTTGTAGCCTTCTGTGCACTAAACCATTTGTGTGTTGAAATACATCCTCAAAGGGAAACACAAAACTAGAAATGTCACAGTTTCTAAAAAAACAAAAAAACGGATGAACTATCATCTTTTTCATCTTTTATTTTTGTCTCCATAACCAGCACTGTAATAAGGGTATGGTTGATATTATTTGTAGTGATGTAAACCAAACCCAACCAAACTGCAGTACATCTGAACAGCAGTACAATCATAAGTATAGCATGTATAGTAGGATACAAGTCTACAATATGAGGAGTTTTCATTGTCCCATATAGTGATCATTCTAATGGCTTCATATCTGTGCTACAGTCAGTGTGAGAGGAACCCCTGCCCCATGGACAGTCACACCTGTCAGCTCGCTCCAAAGACAGTGTCTTTCCATTACCTGTCCCTGTCGTCCAACCTGCCGACTCCTGCCACTCTCTTCAGGATGGCCACAGCCACTGCCCCAGGGCGTACGGGGCCGGACAGCCTGCGCTTTGGGATTGTGGGGGGTAACTCCAGAGGCATGTTTGTGATGCAGCGCTCGGACAGACAGACCGGTGAGCTCATCCTGGTGCAGCAGCTGCAGGGCCCACAAGACATCAGCATCGACGTGGACATGTCCGAGTACAGCGACCGCGTATTCCAAGCCAAACATGTGGCCAAAGTACACATCCTGGTGTCGCCGTACAACTTTTAAACCAGATTTCAAGGTGGAAATATGAACTGATCTGATATGAATCTGACTTGACTTTCTACAAATGTATTTGTATTTAATCAGTGGAAAAAATCTTCACATGACATCTTTATATTGTGTTACTATCATCCTGAACTTTGACTGTCACCTGCTGAAGGTCTGACACTTAATATATGCACTTTTCTTTTATATTTCCTATAGTTTTATTAGTACATCAAAGGCTTAATTTATTGGAAATATTGTTGGTATTTTTATACTCGTTTTCTCTTCAATCATGTACTGTATATTTGCTTATGCTGGAGTAGGACACAAATGTTCCATTATATTTCTGTAGCCCTGCAGTGATACTGTACCACAGCATATTTGCTGCATTAGTCATATTCTTTATGTTACCCAGAGACACACATTTTTATGTCTAAAATCAGAGGCTTTACAGTGAGCTTTCCAGAGCACAACTCAGTCCGCCTGGACTTTGAATTGTCACTACATAATTGAAATAAAGTCGGTCCAAAACTTCACGATTTGTTAAAAGCTACCTTTGGTGATATTGAACACTGGACTATTGAATATCATTGTGGCAGCAGTTTTCATTTTACCTCTACTGAAGGTGAATTTTAATGAGTGAAAGGCACACCAGTGCATATTTGAAAAATGAATAATAATCTGTATAGTATATCAAGAAACTTAGAATAAAAGAAATGACAGATGTGGTCTTAACCACAACAAGATGAGGGGCACAAGAAGCGGTAACTATTCCAGTGGTTTCAATCAAGCAAAGATGAAGGGGTATTTAAAACAATGGTGTGTTCAGATGTAGCCTATAACAAAAGTAAATGGATGGTAGTGCCAAAGACAACTGTGAAGCACTAAGCAACATAACATAAGACACTTGTAAGCAATAGCAGAAATTATGCTTGAGCCAGCCCTGTGAGGTTTGTTGGTCACAAACTTTAACAGCCTTAGAGGTTACATGGCAATGGACATGTTATTGCACTTTCTTCAGGGACTAATCCTTAACTTTTGCTGCTGATCTGTGCTGATTTAAAAGGTTTAAATTGGCACAAAACTGTGACCAGTGACATAATCCCTAATCACTGAAACACAAAGAACATGATTACTTGTAATACCTTAGCAACCTGAAGTTTAACAGAAAACACAGCAGACCAATGTACAAAAGCATTTTTTTTTTTTTTGCTCTGTAAAATGGACATATTTTGAAAAGGACAACAAAACTCTGAATCAGATTCCTTGCATTCCTTGTATATTTTAGTCTAGGCAATCCTTGACACAAAATGAACAAATGAAAACATGTGCTTCAGGTGTTGCTCAAAATGAATAGAACTTTTATTAGACAGGAAACAGCAGGGCCAATGTAGATTTTTCTTCCTGAATGTTTGGAGCAGATCCAAAAGAAAAATGTGTTAGACTTGTGTAAAGGACTATCAATACATGATCCTGCAGAGATAAATCTAAGATAAAGTCCTTACATATGACTATGATCTGCCATTAAACAATAACTATATTATGATTTTCACTGTAATGGTGAAGTGACAGAAAAACAAAATATTTGTTATAAATTATTGATATTTAATCAGTGTACACACTTCCTGAAAAGGAAGAGGAAAACTGCTGGTATGAAGAGCACACTTCCTCCTGATGCCTTTGCACCTGTGGAATTATGAAATAACAGGAATCAGCCAAAACCATCTGTACAAATAACCAGGTCCACTGCAGGTACCTGCAGTTTTATATAACGCAAACAGTGCCATGAAAAGCACAATTATTCCAGCTTTCCAACCATTATAAAAGAAAACATTAAAAACCCCATTCAAGTGATCTGCTTGTGCCTGTGCCGATCACACCAGAGCCGAATGGTTTACATCAACAGAGAAAAAATTTAACAAGAACATAGTAGGTAAAATAAAGGATTTTATCAACAAAGGCAACAAAATCCTGTTGCCTTTAACAGACTTCTGATAGAATGGAAGCACACCTCGTAAATAGAGTAAACATGAAAAAGCCACATATGAACAACTTATAAGTACACTTAGACAAATAAATAATAATGTCAACATACACAATAGTATATTGCTCTTATTTTGGAAAATAGAACAGCTTCCCACATACACGCAACAGATTCAAACTTGAACAAGACTGTACAGATCACAAAGCTAGAGTCTACATTACTGAACCCATTAACATTTGTAGTAAAATAATCTGTGCATCAATCCCAATACTGAGGACAGGCTTGCAGACAGCCACCAGTAATAAGAGAAACATCACTTTTCAATATCTTCCAAAAACTCCAGACCCCAAACCAGAACTACACATAGGCACAGCTTTGATTTTCAAAGTGCATAAGAGCTAACATGAAACAGTGTAAGAAATGTTATGTTTTCCTGACTTGGAGAATAATTAGATGGACAAGCATAGCTTAGAAATATCTACGTTTGAGTCCTTTGATCCCTTAGCTGGGCAGAGATTTTAAACAGACATGAAAACATATGTGAGGACCACATAATAATTCTAGTGAAATCACTAGTGTACACTAAAAATTAAGCAAAGATCAAACCTGGGAGGATAGCCTTTAGCTGGGTCTTTTTTTAGAAAACAAAAACATAACATTTCTACTTTTAATACACAATGCTATATTTAGTCTCCAATATGGCTGAATATTAAATAAATCCTCTTAAGGTTTATTTTCTCTGTAAACAGCCTAACTTTCCCTCCATTCTTAAATACAAATGTCTTGATACCGTATCTCAAATAATATATTATGGGCCTTTGAAAATATTGTTCTGTCAATGTTTGAGTTCATGCTTGACACCTACTGCTCCTGCTAATCTCTGGTAAAATAAATTCAAAAGAATATGACAAAAATAAATACAGCACTTAATAAAACACATTCTCTTTGGAAATAAAGGCTGGAAACTGATGACTTCAGGAAATCACTGATTCACCGTCAGTGCACAGACTGGTGTTGTTAAAGAGTTATTAAAACAACAAAGGGTCCCCGAAAACGGTTTCACGCTGCCCCGACCGCTGAAGTGGCACCCACACAGGAGCCTACACTGAAACATGGACAAAGAATATACAAGTTAAAATGCAATGAGACAAAACCAACTAGTGAGCATGAACTGTATACACAAACTACCTCTGAATCAGCAGATAGACAAGCATCATTCCAGTTTTGACATCTCATACTTGGTCGTCATTATTTCCTAAAAATCAAATCAAATTTTTTTCTTCCTTAGTGTCATTGTTCAAATTTCTATCAGAGAAGTTAAAGTAGTAAGATTATTGTACCTCGTCTGAGTCCAACAAGACCGGTAGAGCTCTGTGATAAGAATAAAAAGTGTCAAATTCTATACTTCACACAAATTACAATACTGTAACGTTGTTTCAGCAATATAACAATTACAAGACTTACACATCAGTAATTGAGCTTGGAATGTTGTCCTCCACCCATTTCAAGTCTTCATCCTGTAAAAAGGAACAAATGCTAAATGCTGCCATCTGCTGCACTGTACGGCAACTGCATATTTTCATTTTCATACTGGGTTTGCCTCTGCAGGTTTAGCAGTCCCATTGGTCTCATTTTTAGCTGCTCTTAATTTGATCCCATCAGCTGTGAATAAAATACACAGATATTCAAGAAGGGCAAAATATAGTAAACCAAACAAGTCAATAGATTCAACATTAAGTTACCCATGTTTGAATTGGTCATAAACTCCTCAATCTCTTCATCATCAGAGTCATCAATAAGAGGTGTGAAGGCATATCTTTGAACAAATAAAATATATTTAACATTAAAAAAAAGTTTCAACAATCAGATTCACATTATAAGATGCTGATGTACCTTTGGTTGTTTGCAGATGGTCTCCATAGAAACATAATGACGAGCAGGATGACTGAGAACAAGAACCTCCAGAAGGCGTCTTCCACCCACAGCTCGATCCAGTCCTTCGAGACAAACATAAAATAAGTATCTGATACATAGGCAATAACATAATATTCGTTATATGAAACACTTACCGACTGACATTCCGCAAGCCGGAATTTCTTAGCAATCCATGCCATGAAGATGATGGAAGCTAATGGGAAAAATTAGATGTTATATTTATTTCTTGCAGGTTAAGTATGGTTAATCAAAGCAATGCTTTTAGCAAAACTTACCAAGAACAGCAAATATTAATGTGTTTGTAAAATGTCTGTATAGGGATAACTTGACCGGGTTCCTCCTAAGCTTCAGAGTCTTGATGGTTTGTGCCAGACTTACAAAGATGTTCACAGGAGTCAAGGAGAACATACTCAAATATTAACTAGACAATTTTACCAGCCAAAATGAGGGGTTTCTTATGCAAGGGGTGGTATATTTTGCATATATTGTAAAAGAAAAGAAGCAGCAAATTTTAGTAACGTATGATTCATATTATGATTTTGAAATAGGGGTGGGTGATATTTTTAAAAAAGGCATTTGAATATTTTTAGAACAATAATTGTAATATTATACATTTTTCAATCTCATCACCCACCTCTATTATGAATTTAAGTAAAGTTTTATTATACACCACAGTACTTGAGCCCTAATTAAGGTCTGAATATGTGAATGAGGCGAGGAGCAGAGGAAAAGGTGCACAAAAGGATATCCACCAGCAGAGAGAGGAGTCAAGCAGAGCCAGGGGAATGTTGGCCAGCAGGGCCAGATCTGAGTCTTTCGCCTAGAGGTCAGAGGTCACGGTCAGGACAGTGCAGGAACACACAGGGAAGAGGAGAGAGCGGGAACCAAATCAAAGACGATCAGAGATTTAAAAGTAACTCAGCAAATACAACACAGAACCAATGATCACAGCAACAGAAGAAAATTAATCATGACAATAAAAAGAAAAAGATTTTAAACCATAATGCATAAATGTTATCTTTGTTATTCATCTGACTAATCTAATTACAAAGGCAGTGACTGGAAGGATATGAACCAGATGGCACAGGAATCGAGTATGGCAAGAACAACTTCTGTAATGAGAGCTGGGCCATTGTCCCGACCCTTCAATACAGATGCATCCAAAAATACAAGATTATTTAAAGCAGCAGGTACAACTTAAAACCGGCCAATTATTCTATATTTACACAACACATACAACAAATTAAACTATTGCAAATTAGAAATTTTTTCATGACTCACCCCAGTGATTCTTAGGACACCTTCAATGCTTGCAAAAGCAAAGTAGAGCATCCCCAAACCAACAACCCTGTGCATAACTGTCCCCAATCGAGGCCTGAAATTATAAGAAAGAGAATATTCATTGTACAGTATTAAATACATTATATGCATATTGTAGTATTAAGGTCATTGTGATACATACTTTACAATGCCATAACCAAGACTAACAATGATGACAAGCAGTCTAGCGAGGGTCCTCTTTAGGGCAGAGATCAGTTCCGCAAAAATCAATAAGCCAGATGCTGTAAAACAACAAATGCATTCAAAATCTTTGTCTTACGGTAGGTGCAGTTAAACGTTTAAATAATCATATGTGTTCTTACTAGCAGAGCCAACAGCATTTGTGTTTTCATATTCCGCACAGAAGACCGCTTTCTCAACCATCCCCAAGAATATGACCCCAGCGATCCAAAACTGAATACGAAGCAGGTCCTTCCAGTAGCAGGCCGCCCAAACAAACCAGAGCACAGCGTACAAGATGTAGACTATACACATCACCATGTAAAACTATACAAAACAGACAACACAAGACATAAAGCAACTGAATCTCATTTCGTAATTTCTATTGTGATACTGGTGATAGTAGTATCAAAATAGTGATTTTTTTTAAATTAACTTACAATCATCAAAGGCCACTCTGTGATGGATATGTACCCATGTTCACCTCGCATCACCAAATCGACTGAAAAATTACATCAACCATATCAGTACAGTAAATGCCTCAAAGCTACACTGCTTAAATAAAGCCTCTTACTTGTTACATTCCATTGGGTGTCTGGCTTGTCAGACAGGATCTCCACAACAAGCAGATATGGTCCATCTCTCCATGTGGTGGCAATCACATTCTCTTTAATGCTAACATTGCTGTTTTTGTCAGTTTTATGCTCATACTCATCAATAACCAATCTGGTATAGTTAGAATCCTAAATGTCACACACAACAAAACATATGAACAAATCAATTTCAAATTTATATACATTACTGGTAAATTAGCTTTACATTTCTGACTGATGTTCTTACCGGCTTGTTAGGGTCAAGGAGAGGGCTGGCAGGACGTGGATTTGCCTTTGCTTTCTGTAATAACAATAAAGATTTAAAATATCCAAACAAATAAAACTTTGACATGAGGAAAAAGGTAATTGTTCAAACTCACATTGAGCATTGGGAAAGAGTGCAGTTTGCTGTTACATGTTATGGCCTTGTGTCTGTGTTCAATGACTTCTCCGTTGTCCGTAGGGTTTGGATCCAGGCCTTTGCCACGACTTAGTGGTGTTCTCTCATACATTTCCTGGAAACAATTCATATTTAACTATTTATATCTAAGTAAGCATTTACTAAAACAAATTACTTACATCAATATTATTGAATTCATTGTGACAGGAGTAGAACTTTAAAAGCCAGTGAAAAGTCAAATCCACGTTCTCAGGACAATCAAACGATACAACTGAAGGACAGAGTAAGTTAGAAATCAATACATGAAATATGCAGAATAAAACTAACTTAGACATTAAAACAATATCTAAACATTAAGGAATACATTGTACCTTTCAATTGTATGTCTGTATTCCTGTACATGGATTTTCTGATCAGGAGTGGCTTGGATGACTGTGGAATAAGATCAGTATTTACATAACTGTGGTAAAAGGTCCATCAGTGAGACAACAAATGCAGACGTAATCATGAAACTAAATAAAGACAAGTCAACAGAGAAACTGAAGCTTCCACATGCTGAATTATTGATCAAAGTTGCCAAAAGGCCAGTTCTACGCAGTGTGTCTAGTAATTTCCCCTGTGATTTATATATAGTCATATCACGAAAAAATACTTGCGTAATTAGATTTTGAGCAACTGGCTGTGGAAAAGGGGGAGTCACAACTAGCATCCAAATGCTAACTCTAGCTTTAGGGGGGCTTAAACCAAATTTGGGTTAAGTTTTACACATTGTCAAGATATTTAACTAAACAACAAGATAATCTGCGACAGTGGACTATACAGATATATAAAATTAACATAAAGAACCAGACTGAACCACATTTCATTTCACGACTGTCATAGACCTGAAGGTTAGCATTACGAGGCTAACTACTGTAGCTAAGAAACAGCGGCTAACTATGCTAAAGGATCGCTGCTAACTGCATACTTACATTTACTACAGTTATTTTCCAAAGGCCGGGCTCTGGTGCGGCACATGATGTCTCTAATGTGCCAAGTAAAAGCAGTGATAAAATAAGGTATGGAGACAAAACCCGTGTGGCAGGACATCTCCACGTCCGCATCTCGGCAGCAGCGGCCATGTTTGATGTGTACAACGTTTAGCTGTACGTATCTACACTGCTCCGGGGTGCCAAATAAGACACGCGTTTTTCAGCCTTAGTACTTTTGCCATGTTCAATTTGTTCTCCTGTTGTCGGGGTTACTATAGGGTGACCAGATTTTCAAAATAAAAAACTAGGACATCCCTGCTTTGGGTTGGTTGGTAATTAAACTGTGAAACGAGTGCGTAATTAAAGAAAACTGTTATGCACTCGACACTAATGTGAGTCAATATAGTCACATTTTCCTTGTGTTTTTGTCATTTTTAAGCAACTTTTCTGCATTTTACCTAAACAAATGACAGTGTATGCCTCTCTTTACTGTTGACAGGTATCAAATGGGTCAAAAATAGGAACACCTGGGACATTTCTTGTATAAAACTGGGACAAATCACTGGCTTTGGATAAATCTGCTGGGACAAGAGACACAGGGCTCAAAATTGGGACTGACCCGGGTAAATAGGGACGTATGGTCACACTACGCTACTACAATGTAAATGTATTGTAAAGTACGTGCAATTTGAAATAGCTATGCATAATCTATTTGGGAATGCATGTTATGTCGAATCAAAGAGAACAATTACTCAGTAACTTGTATTTGCACATGACCTGAATGCTATTTATATGGCAACCCAACAATAACAGCTGATACAACCTCGCCATTGTAAAACATGTCTCAATATTTTTGTAAATGACCAGTTTAGTTTTGTCCACCAGAAATCGGAATCACATAGCGGTGCTTAAAATGGCAGACAACATGGCATTAGAATTGTATGTTTAGTAGGGGTGTGCAAAAATATCGAAATATCGTATTGCTTGTGATAATGCAGCGATATCGGGGACTGCTGTATCGATATATCACCAAAAAAAAAAAAAAAAAAAATTATTTTACTACGTTATTTTGTTAGAGCTACAGTTTCATTGCTTGTTTTGAGGAAGGAGCTCGTTTATGCAACACATTTGACATTTTCACTGTTTTGATGATTAACATGGGCGTGTTTCACATTCACTTTGCGCAAGAAGTGGTTTACCAAAGATCACAGCCATGACTTTGCCTTTATTTTTTATTGAACCGTGTCAAATATATGTGAAATATATCGTATCGAACCGAAAGTGCATTGTATTGACATATGTATCGTATCGTGGCCTATGTATCGAGGTATGTATCATATCAGCAACTTCTTAATGATACCCAGCCCTAATGTTTAGTGTCCGTGTTTTTACCCCCTCCTATTTTTAATTGCCTGAGTAAGATAAACAAACACACCACATCCAGCTATGAATGTTAATGTAGCAAAATATACCACTTTAATTATCTAGTCTCAAAAGATAAATCAGCATTTCTTTTAAATACTTTTGTGTCTTGCTAATAAACAATAGGTACAAATCTATATTTACAATGCATTATGTAAGTAAACAATTCACAGTTTAGTGCACATCAAGCTTATTGAAAGTTTGCAGCCATTCACTCGTTTGAACACTGGCCTTATGAAAAAGTGACTCACTGTTTTCATGTAACAAAATGCTCAGAATATTGTGCAAAAGGTTAATAATGAATAAAATGGGATCAACTGTGAATATTCAGCAAAACAGACTTTTAAAGAATTTTACAGAATTTTAAAAACTGTTGAGGATACAGAGTGGATGTAGAGGTATCTTAGGGGATTTTTGCAAACACAAACAAAATATTGAGGTCATAAAATAGAACATATTTTCCACTTGAGATTTAATCAGTGCCCTGTGTAAGCTGTCAGCCACATTTTTTTTCTGTAGAATAATTAATGTTGCATTGTCCAGTACATGCATATGTTATCTGATCTTCACAACAGGGAGGAGGTGTCACTTGTGCTGGGGTCCTGTGCCTCACTCTGTCCACTGACTTGACTCGCAGTGTCATTTGATAAAAGTGGAGTGTTTACTGCTGGGGGTCTAAGGGAAGGGTCAGATGAGATGACCACCACATATCTGTTCTCACAATCCTCCTCTTCATCCCCCAAACTTCCATGAATGTCCGCTGTGACGACTGCCCTCTCTGCTGCTGCCCTCTGGTGGTGACTACATGAGGGGGAAGAGTTGAAGGCTCCGTGGTCCACATTAAAATCCACACTGTCTGGATCTTCTTCAGGGAAACTTGTGTTAATATAAATGATGTCCTCTTTGCTGGAGGCATCTGGAAGTTTCTCAGCGAGTTTCTCCAACCTTTCTCTGAGCTGAGTGAAGATGGGACGGTCCTGTGGGTCAGCCCTCCAGCACATGTACATGATTTCATATCTGTAAGACACAGGATTGGTAAAATTTTGTGTAAAATAGTTATAGCAAGGGGGGAATAAATATAATGAATGCTGCTTTTTATACCTTTGGTTAAATATAGTGGCTGTTTTGGCAAGTAAACGGTTTTTAATACTAGGTCTGATCAAACCTCAAAAGTATCATTACTTAAAATCAAAATATAAATTCTTTTGAAATCAATTCATTTTTGTATAGCTCACAATCGCCACAAAGGTATTTAAAAAATTGTTGACTGCAGAAAGTTAGAAAATCAAAAACCCATATCAATATAAAATAATTCATACAATTTGTATTTACAATGGCTTTGAATTTTTGTGGTATTTCCAGGAGATGAAGCTGTCGAGCTAATCAAGAAGCTCAAAGAGCATGTGTGTACAGAATAACCTTCAGGCTTTGTAAAAACTCTATCATTTAATGTAAACAGGAAGAAACCACTTACAGCTCATCCAAACAGTCTGGGGGCTGCTTTAGTCTGTGCCCTTCAAGAAGATGGTCGTAAATCTCATGGTTTTGGATGCCAGGATAGGGTGTCATGCCTCTCGTAGCAATCTCCCACATTGTAACACCAAATGCCCACTGAAAAACAGAGCAATCTTATTATGAACAGTGAAAGACTATAAGTACGTTTTTGCCTCTATACAATGTAACTTTTTAAAAACAGTATAAAAACTGCAACAAAATATTTTCTTACCACGTCACTCTTTACAGTAAAAACTCTGTCTGCTAGACTTTCCACTGCAATCCATTTGACTGGCATTTTGGCAATTCTACCCTGTCTGTAGTAGTCTCCACTGTATATTTTTTTAGACAGGCCAAAGTCTGCAACGCACACTGTCATGTCATCACGCAACCTGCATAAAAAAGAAACAAAAATAGGTTAAAAAACAGTTTAAATGTTTATGTGTTACCTACCATATGATGAGGTAGTATTTATCTATCACAATCATCACCACTGATTTTACTTTTGACCCCTGAGTGTGCAGTTAAAGTACAGAAAATTAGGTAAACTGAGAAAGATATTTGGTGAGATCTTTTACTGCCCAAAACAGTAAATAAGTATTTTAGTTTGTGTGTTGAATAAGAAGTTGTGGAAGTTTCAAATCTGTATTTTGTCCAATTTCAGAATTAGACAAAAGTGCAATATCAGCATCAGTTAGAACATTTCATCAGTTGTCAGTTTTACTTTGAATCACTGTAGAAATTGAAGTTACTATAAATTTCACATAAAGATTTCTCAAAAGCAAAACAATTTTTCATCAATTTTGACAAAATGGTTATTGGTTATTATGCTTATATACTGTTGCCAGTGAAGAGATATTACAGAAATTATTGCAATAAAGTTGAAATATGTGACTCAAAATTACATCTGTATACACTAGAATTGGTACTGAAATGTTCAGATTATTTCATAGCATATAGTTATTCACTGACTCAATTATTAAACAATTATAAAAAAAAAAAAAATCATACATGCAGTTCCTTGCAGCCAGGTCGCGATGTAGAAAGTTGCGATTACTGAGGTATTCCATTCCCAAAGCAATGTCAACCATAAATTTCAACAAAGTCTGAGTGGGCAAGTACTATATACAAAACAAAGTAAAGACAATTTTTTTTTTTTTCTTTCTTTTTTAACAAAACAGCAGATTAATAATGGGTCAGTTTTTCACCATTGGACTCTCTCCCAGACGTGAACGAAGCAAAAAGCTGTGCAGATCTCCATATTTCATGAAAGGCAATATGACCATGGGCTTGGGAAAGTTTCCTGGGCCCATTTCTAAGCAAACACCTGGAGTGGGTGAAGCAAACAGACTATGACAGAGCGCAAATACAAGAAGACAGGGAACCTCTCAGTTCAGGCAAAATACACTTATTTCAGTTGAGTCAGAAAGTACCTAGCAATCTGATGACATTTGGGTGGTTGAAATCTTTCATACAGGCGGCTTCATTTAGGAACTCTTCTATCTCCCTTTGAGAGAAACTGTCCACTGTTTGAAAAGCGAGGTTTTTAATGTATAAGCTTCTTAGTTATATTACTGAAAACAAGTTACAGATAAAGTTGATTTTGAAGACTTACATTTCATAGTCTTCACAGCAACCTTTTCGGATGATCCATCAGTTTGTCTAAACTGCCCTTCCACCACAGAGCCAAATTCACCTAAAATAACAAACAAATATATAAAATATTAATTGTTCTCCTTGTCAGTCTATATCTCTTTTATTTGTACAATAAAACAATCCATTCACCTTCCCCAAGTATTTTTCCAATGGACAGCAGGTTTCTAGTGACCATTACATCCTGCAGTTTGGCCTGAAGTTGGTCACTAATGCCAAGATTACTCACTAGAAAATAGAATATCAAACATTTTACAGTGACTTTAAAAATACTGCATAATCATGTGAATAATGTGTGACCTACATGTGATTTCAACTGCAGATCGATTATAAGACCTCTGCGGATTATAAAGAATAACAGGTTCTACCTTATCTCTATCTCCAAACAGTTTCCTGCAAGAGGTAAGAGGGATAATAAATCATTACAAATAATAATAAACTTCATCGCTTTGACATAATTAAGTCAACAAAATCTATTTTTAATAACTTGGTAGAATCAATACATACATATATTATTGTAATTCTTGATTTGATTATTGTGGGACAACTTGTATTGAATTTCAGATTTATGAAAGCTTTATAAAGAACACATTAAACTAACACTCATGTTATAGAGTTCCACAATAGTAAGGGTGATTCAGTAAGAGCACCTGATATAAATAAAACCTGGATACTGTACAGCTGCAATAGCAATAACGCAGGCCTCACTCAGGTGCAGAGGGTGATTAAGAGGAA